ATGTAAAGGTAACCAAAGAAGCCATAATCTTTCTCCTCGCAGAACTTAAGGGCTCATGAAGGAAACAGACAAAGGCACAATCAGTATCTATGAAGTGTGATGAGTGCTGCGCAAAGGGAGGACAGAGGGCCAGGTGAACACATAGCAGAGGCTTCTGGTCCGCGTCCGGGGCAGTCAGGGAGGTGAGGCCTGAGCTAACCAGGAACTAGACTGTGGGGAGCAGGGACGAGTGATCCGTATAGCAGGAATAATGTGCAAAGGCTTGGATGTAAGAAAATGAGGCTCACGTGAGGAAATGAAACATTATTTAGTACGACTGGATCACAGAAATCAAATGTGTCAGGGACAGTGGGATAGAAAAAGGGACAGAGGAACCAGGGCTAGACTATAAACGGCCTCATAAGCCACATGAAAGAATATGGACTTCATCCCGTCAGCAATGAGGCACTCTTACAGAGTTTTAAAATTTACTTTGGCTGAAGTGTGGAGAATGGTGACACTAACAGGTGGACACCAGAAGCAAGGGACAAGATAGAAAGATAGGAAAACCTGTCATTAAGCTCACTGTCCCTCATGACAAGGTTAAGCATACATCATCTCTAAGATCAATCCTAACATTATATGATTCCACAATTTTTTCTACCTAGTCTAGACTAGAGAGTATTCAAGATTTTCTTCCATGGAGACATAATGGGAGCAAATGCATTCTATCTTCCAGATAAACTAGTGTGTTATCTGCCCTAGCTTGTCAGATATATGAGAAATCAGACTGCACACTAATAAAAACCTCATTTGAAAGTGTATCTACTAAGTGGGTAAGAGGTTTTAGTCATTTGGAGCAGAGCAGTATCAGATGTAGCACTGTAATAATACTACACAACGTATGAGAAAATAGTAACTAAATACTGTGAAATATATTATTCTCTTATAGATGTGTCTAGCCTATTGGCAAAACTGATTTATATAGTGCATTTCAACCTAGGAAATCAATTTATAAAACATTATTATAATAGGAATTGTGTTTTTTCAATTAGTTGTTGAACACCAAGACAACTCCTGGGGGAGAATGTTTATAAGGACTACTTTCTGTTAACAGTGAGCTTGCAGACACTTCAATTGAAAAGTTTTATACTAGAAGACTTTTATAGGAGATGTGAAACTCTCTCCCCCCAGGTTTTGTGTTCCTTAATAAGATCTGAGGCCAACACGATGCCATTCCTTGTTAGTGCTGCTGCTGCACAGTTTCAGACAAGACTAGCGAAAGAGGTAAGTCTCCCTGAGGGAGTAGTTAGAAAATTAATTAAACTGAGGCAGGCACTGGGATATTTAGAAAACAAATTAGAGTCAAGACCAAACACAAACAAGAACAAAAAAGAGCAATAAGAACCAAGGGAGAGCAATGTTTTCTGCATGGCCTTCTCTCTGCTATCCTAAAAGAAATTTGGATACTATTTTTTAGGAAAATAAGTTTCCTACTCTCACAATATTCTACATTTATAAAAGGTTACATTTCTAAAATTTAAGCATTTTATTACAATACTGCTTAAAAGATAATGTTAAGCTTTTGCTTGACATTACTTGTTT